ACATCTAATTATTGCTAAGTCCCAAAGGTATCTTTTCCTCTCAGAGTTCTGAACTTATCAATCCAACTGTCTACCTATTCGAGATCTCATGTGGATGGCTCAAAGACACCTCAATGCAATACATCCAACACTAGACTCATGCATTCCCCTACCAAACCTGTCCTGTTCACATTTCTCAATGCTGGTCCTGGACATGCAGTTTACATGCCAGAAACACAGGCATTCTCTGTGACCCCCACCACCTCCTTTACCACCCAAGTCTAAACCATCATTAACACCTACTGACCCCTAAATATATCTCAAATTTGTCTACTTCACTCTATCCCTACTGCCTCCACCCTAGTCCAGCATCTCTCTGGAAGCTTTATAACAACCCACACCTGTTCTCACCACATCACTTAGAGCCTCTCCAATCCAGCTGGTTTTTCAAAATGTAAATCTGATCCTATCACTCTTTGTTTTCAAAACATTAAAGGTTTCCCATTACTGTCAGGACAAAGCCCAAATTCTCTCCTGGATCTGCATGATCTGGTCCTGCCTAATGCTCTTGCCTCATCCTTCTTACTCACTCTCTTTGCTCCAGCCACAGGGGCTTGCTTGCATTTCCTTAACAGCACTGTGTACCCTGCTACCACGGGGTCTTTGCACAGACTGGTCTTCACTGACTGCTCTCCTCTTCCTGTGAAGCCTCTCCATCCAGCAGATCTTAGCTCCAGTATCAATACAACAGATAAGGCTTTCTTTACTTAATATTGAAGACTCTCTGATTATTTCCTTTCTTTCCATTGGAGTGTTTATTTTCATTTGGAATTATAAAGTCATTAATGTGGTCTTTTGGTTGTGTCAATCACTAGCACTGGGACTATAAGCTTTATGAGATCAGGGACTTTGTGTTTTGCTAGACATTGAAACTCTAGTGTCTAACATAGTAGCTACCTCACAGTAGTTACTCAGTAAATATGTGCTAAAGATTAAACTCAACAATCCCACAAAATGAGGTATCTATAATGTCGTACATGTCTGTACTCTTTGTAATAGCAATGTAACTACCTATCAATAAGGAACTTGATTAAATATATTGTGACACATCCATTCAATGGAATACTGTGCAGTTATTTGTGGTAAGTTTGTATGCATTCATATGGAAAAAATCTTTAAGATATCCTTGTGAATAAAGCAAGGCAAAGCAAAGTATGCATAGTGTGCTGCCATGTGTGTTAAAGAAGAGGGTAATATGTTTGTATTATGTGTTGGATGAAAGTACTCACTGAATGTTTATAAAAAACTAACAACAGCAGGTACCTATTTGGAGGGTGGGTGAGAACTGGGTGGACAGGTGTCAGAGGTGGAAGAGAAACTGCACTCACTACCACTTTACCCTATCAGGTTTGGGAACCCATATAAATATGTTATCTATTTATAACTCAGTAGACACATTTTTAAGTGCCCTCTGCATGGAACCCGATATAGTCCATTGAATGAGCGAAAGCACACGTTTGCTTGCCTATTATCCATTCCCATCTCCAACACATATCCACATCACCTCTGCTGCCACCGCTTGGCCACTTCCCTTGGGAAGAAGCAGGAAGCTTTTTAAATTAAAAATGTATGTCATTTTTAAAGCCCTACTCTCAAATAATCGATTTACAGGAATATACCCTTACATCACCCTTTACAGTTTATGAAGTACTTTCCAATATGCTCTAATTAATTAGGTCCTTACGACAACCTTAGAGAGTTTATGTATCTTTAGCCCCATTTTACACATGAGAAAACTGATGCTGTGAGAAATTAATGGCCCTGCCCAAAGTCATCCCTCTAGAAATGGCAGAGCCAATCTAGACCTTAGCATTACAAACTCGCATTCCTTCTAAAGCCACTTGAAGAATAACTTTTATCATCTTTCCCAAGTCCAAAAACGGAAAAAAGAGATGGCAGGACTTTCACAAACTTTATTTCAATCCCATGACATTCTGTTACAGACTGATACAAGTATAGGTCAGTCTGGGTCTTGGTCCTAGGGGACAGACAGTACTTGCAGAGAGGGGAAAATAGCCAACTTCTGTTTTGATGGTTACATTCACCCAGCAGGATAGAAAAGAAGGAAGAAAAATGTTGTTGGCTGGTGTGGAGAGAATCCTGCCAGTAAATCTGGTGGATGCTCCAAACATGCCAAAGGCATCCCCCAAGGTCCCATTAACACCATGACAATGGACCAGAGCAGCCCTGAACACTTAATAACACTGCTGATCTCCTGGCAACATTTAAAAGCAAGATTGTGTTTCTACTAAGGCATGGATCGGAGTTTCAAAGATGGACTAGAGAGTAGGAGGATTTTGCTACTGAGGACTGAGGAGGACGTCAGCCTGGGTGTGCATCGTGGACGTTTCCCTGCGTAATATTTTCCTCCCCTTCCATTTTTTAACCTCTGAATTGACTCTCGAGTCCCAGATTCATGGGGTCCTCCAAGACAAAGTGAGAACAAGCAGTGGAAAGAATGAAATATGCCTTTCACCACCACAGTCTAGATCCACTGTTCATGTTAACCGGAAGCTGAGAGCCACAGAACAGTGCGAAGTCCACCAGCTCCCAATCTTGTATTCTAAGATATGGCATGTGATTGATACAGGAAAGGCGTGTATCATAAATGTCCGGGGCCATTTATAATGGTCTTAGAACATGCGAAGGATTCGTGTTTCTGAGTTTTCAAAGCGTCCTCATACCTATTCTTCCTGGAATAAAAAGGTGACCTGCACAGTTTTTCTGGTCCTTCCCATAATGACGACTACCATAGGAAAAATATACACTGCTTCTGATATAACATGATATATTTATCCTGGGTAGGATACGCAATGTGATACTCCCCTTCACACAGAAAAGGTAGAGAATTTTTAGGGGTTTTTTTTTCTGAAGAAAGGAACAAGGAATTGTCAATAATTCTTCATGAAACCCTGAGATTGTCAATTCACAACCACTTAAATCACTCCAGAGTGCCTGAAAGTTTCTCAAGGAGCACCATAAAATGTAAATCATAAAATTGACTCAAAAAGCAAATTTTATTTTCGTTTAAACTCTAAACGAGCTAGCTAATTTAATGTAGTGCTAATGTGCCACCTTTCAAAATGGGCAAGGGATTAAAAATGGAAGGGATTCAACAGGTGTTGAAAAGTGCAAGGTATATCAGATCTAACTTCTAAATTGGGCAACACAGGAGCTCAGCAATCTGGAACAATTATTTTCCTCCCCTAAAGCTTCCGAATCTTCCTCAGAGCTGCGTAGCATACCCACCCTTTGTTATCTAAGCAGGCAGGGTGATGAGAGGGAAAGGGAAAGAATTCTCCCAATGAACATCTGACCACCGGAAACAGGACTGTTTTCACACTGAAACAATTCTTCATGGTCCTATTGTTCTGTTCTGTTTTGTTTTGTTTTCAAATGATGGAAAATCTAATTACAGGAAAATGTTTAATAGCATCATTATGTGACCATAGGGCTAATAAGTTATGTAGCTGAAGAGTTTGGAGGCTAAGCTCCAAAGATATTTTTGGAATAATATCTGATCTCTTGATATAAATATATTGTTACGAAGGATCTAGGAGTATAAGCAAAGTTCCCATAAAACGGAGAACCAAAGGGCCAAGGCTAAAAGGATTTCATTTGGAACACACTAAGGTGTGACTCAGGCTGGGGACACCCAGGCTTACACTTGCCACATCCAGTTGAATATGGAGTGGGGCTGGTGCAGACCGGTGGAGGGTAGGAGGCGACAGAAAGAGCTTGGGACCATGTTGGGAGTAAACTATAGGACAAATATTCCAAAAATTCTGGCAAACCATGGAAGAGGGTTTAGAGGAGTCTAGATTGCTGTCAATAGGGTAGGCCGAAGGCTGGAACCTCTTGATAATGTCAAAGAGATAAGAACAAACCATTTTCCTTAGTTGGACATACTTGCCCATCATGCAAACAGTTTCTTTTCAAGAGCATGAAGAAGGCCTCCAGGTGCCAAGGAGTCCTGGGCAGAAGATAAGGATGTTTGGAAGAACAAGGCAGCTCCCCTAGGCCAACCCACCAGACAAGAGAAGAGCATTTGGCCCAAACCCATCACATAAGGGTGGAAGGAAGGAAGCCACCCAACACCTTCAATGGAATGGTTCATGAACCCGCAAAGGAGTCCTTGTTCCATGAGATAGCCATATCTACACGGTACAGCTCTCTCTGGCAGTCTGTCACATTGCCCTAAAAATATCTCAGACAAGGGACGGGAGTGATGGACCACCACCTCAATGCCCTGGTCCCATCATCATCCCATCTCCACTGTAGCAATGCCACTGCTTTGGAAAAGTGACATTCCTCAAAATTTCCCCCAACTCTGGCATCTGCCCCAGAATGGAAGACCCCTTTTACATTTTAATCCCCCCAAATACTGACCCTCGCATTCCACAACCAGCTTGGCTACCCTGTGCCTCATAGCTATGTCTTAACAACCATATCTATGAATCATAGAAGTGTTAGCTCTGATAATTATTTCACTTCATTTCCTTGAGGACATTTTCTTTCCTCTTAGAAGATTTCTTAGAGCCCCCAGCTACCAACAAGAACAACAACGATATTCACGATGGCTCACATGTGTAGAGTGGTTACTCTGGCAAGCACTATGCTAAGGGTTTTACATGTTTACACATTTCCCACAGTGAAGTCATATAATATAAAAGCTACTATTGTCTTCATTATACAGAAGAAGAAACTGAGGCACAGTGTGACAACCTTTATCGCTTCTTGTTCCCTCTCTTTGTGAGGAACCCTTTGCCAAATAGTAAAGCCTCAGGAATCCAAAGTTTATGGGCAATGTTTTTTAACTGCTGGCAGGGAGGGAGCAGGGAGGTTAATACTCTTTGGTCTGGGCTTTTGGAAGAGTGTTCTAGACTCCTTTGGTCACAAAAGTCATACAAGATGAAGCTATTCTATTATTTTGCTGCTGCAAGGAAATGGCCAATTCTTACCCTGTTGTCTTCTTGGATGTCCCAGTCACTGGAGAAAGTTACCAGTTGCTGACCATGGGAACAGTTTGAAAACTGGAAAAGGCTGGAAAACATCCTTCTGTTCTCTTGAGTGTCTGGAAAGATGGCATCTTGGAAATTGACTCCATGAGGCAAGAGGTTATAATTTTCATCCATCCTAATGGGAAAAAGAAAAGCAGAGATATAGACTGGTCAGTCACTTGTGGGGTGTACCAGCTTTAATGAATAGTCAGAGACGATGGAGACAATCTTGCCAGTTACACAACGTCTCATGTGGCTCTCATCAGAGTTACTGTTTCTAATTGTTTTTCTGCCTCACACTATGTGCATCTATCCTTAAGGTTTTCAAAGTGATGACTGGATAAAAAGGGGAAAAGTGTGTGCTTGCACGTTTGTCTATCTGTATATCTCCAAAGAGTACTTCTTCATAGAGAGTGTTTCTCGCTTCTTGATGAAAGAAGCCCAATTGTAATGACCCGAGTTCAAATCCTGCCCTTGCTACTTATCTTCGATCTGACATGAAATGAATTTTCTAAATTCTCTAAGCTTCAGTATCCCCATCTGTAAAAAAAGAAGATGATAAAGGCACCTGACTTCTTGGTGGAAGTATAAGGATTGCATTAGAAAATGTACATAAATAAAGTAGTTGGCACAGAGTGAGTGTAGTATAAATGTTAGTTAACATTTTTATAGAGCCTAATGTAAATAGTCTGTTAGAAACATAAAGAAGTCATATAAAGGAAAAGGAGAGATCGATGTTACACTCTAGCACGCCAGTGAGTCCCCACTGCCACTTTTCCCTGTGACACTGACCAGAATCCGTCTCAGTGGGTCCCCGAAGAACAGAGGGGGAATGATGTGTATGCAGCTGTTAACACACTTAAGAACAACACAGCCCTGTGAAACGGGCATCTGTCAGGCTACTATTTGACTCTGTATTTCTGCCCTAACTTTTTGTAAATATGTCACAGCAAAAGATGAAAGAATTGGCTGACCACCACAGAGCCAGTGGACAAAACTGTATTTCGCGATCAAGTCGGGGGAAAAAAACCAAAAAACAGTGTCTACATAAGCACTCTCTTTTTTCTTTGGAAAATAAAGTTTTATTGTTGAATAGTTCTATAGCTGGATTCTCAGTGTTTATCCTAAATAAAAATATGAGAAATCTGAGTTAAGTTTCTCTGTACAAGAAAGGTACAGTCTCAGTCCTTGCTAGTTTTATTTAGAAACTATACTTCCCCAGCAGTGAAAAAAAATTCAACTGAAGCTAGCTAAACCACTGAAGCCAAAACAAAGCACGCCATGTATTCTAAACTTAGATATTCTGGCTTCAATATGGAAAACATGTGTTGCTATGGGCTTATGGATACCCACTGCGGAACTTACTGCTTTCTTTCTCAGACAAATGTGAAATCTCAAGAGCTCAAAGCAAATCCGCAGACCCAGGTCTCAGTCATTCAAATATCCTTATTGCTACTTCACCCACTGGGCAGGCTGGAACTATTACTAATCACAGCTTGGATTAATTCACTATCTGGATATAGATGTGAGATTCCATTTTGATGTTTCTCTTAGTTGCTCTGTATCACTCTCCTGTTTCAACTGCAGACAGCCAATGCATTTAGGCTTCCACCTGCTGTTCTGTTTTAAACTTTAGTGGAACACATTGACTGAATTTTTATACGCATGCATTTCATCATGACCACAGGCTAACTTTCATGGAACGTCACAAGATTCCAGGAGTCTCCAATCAGAGAGGGCCTCCTGCCTAATTCTATCCTCTTGGAAGCACTATGACTCAGGGTCTTACACCCAGGAGCACCCCCCAGTACCCCATCCCAAACCTTGGTTATTTTAAATAGCCTGACATTGAGATCTGTCGGCAGCTGATATGAGACTGGTATCAGTTGATACGAGTGAAACAAGAGGACAGCTGAGCTGCATTCCACCCCATTCACATCCTGGTATCTAAGCAGGTGGGCAGAAGACCTGCATCAGGTGTTTGCTACTGTGTTTTAGTCTCAATCAGCCTTGCTTCTCACATTACTAAGGTGAGGATAGCAAGGTTCTTGAGGTCAGTAACGTGTTCCAAATCAGTTAGGAAGGAGCAGAACCAGAATTCCAACAATGTGACTTTAAAGTTTTTTTTTTCTCTTTCTCACCATCCCAAGCTACTCCCATTGAACCCAGTTTTTTAAAACCGGGGGTGGGGTGGGGGGAGTTTAATCAAATGGAGCGTTGGAAACAACCTCGAGCGTTTGCCTGAAACGCTCTTCTTTGCATGACGCACAGAAATCATCCGTGTTTTCCACCACCCTGAGCCAGATGTTACCCGGACCTTGTAGAGTTGTCGGATGCGGCTGGCGAGAATGAGGAAGGCATTTTCTAAAATAGCACAAACAGGATTCCGTGGGAATCCTGACCTGGCTCCAGATAACGGTGACCTCGAGAGGTCGCGCAGACAGGTGAAGGAGGTGGTGTGAGCCTCACCTGAGGAAGAAGAAGTAGGAGTAATCCTGGACCACGGTGTGAGAGTGACACGAGAAGTAGCCCAGGCCCGTGAGGTTGAGCCTGGAGCCGGCGGGGACCTCGAGCATGCTGCCCCACGCCTGATCGCACAGCATCTCGATCTCAGCGGAGTAGAAGAGCCCCGCCTCGCCGGCCTCGTACTGCCAGGGCAGGTAGTTGTAGAGGCCATGCACCTCCTGGTGCAGCGCCAGCACCTTGGCGTACACGATGATCTCGGCGAGCTCGGCCCGGCAGCCCTCGCTCAGGGGTCTCCACTCAGAAGGCAGCTGGCAGCCGCCGGCAGGCGCGAGCCGGCCGGCCAGGCAGAGCGCGGCGAGCAGCAGCGGGCGCAGCATGCCGGCGGCAGGGGAGGGCGGCGGGGCAGCCCCGGTGGGCGCTGCGCCCCGGGCGCACTAGCCTGGGCGCATGGTCGGGCCTCTGGGGTCGAGCAGGGATGAGCCGGGATGCGCCGCCCCGGGGCGCTGGAGGCCTCGGGGAGCCTGGCTCCAGCCTGGGAAGGGCAGTCCTGGGCCCTGGGCTCCTTGCGCTCCTCCTGGAGCTCGGCGCGCAATTCTCCCCGCCGCCAGGCTCGCAGTGCCTGGCCCTAGCCCGGGACGCTTTAAAGGGCCTTGGGGCGGGCCGGCCGCCGCCGCCTCCTGCACCCCCACCCCCGCCCCCCGCGACGGGGGCGTGGGCGGCGGCGGGGGAAGGCGGGGAGGCTGGCTGGCTGAGTTGGGACGCGAGCCAGGGGCGCGTGGGACGCTCAGGAACCGCGGGGGGCCGCAGTCCCCGTGTCGGAAGCAGTGTTTAGGGGAGTACAAGGCGCCCTGAGAAAGGTCACTGGTGGGGGTGGCTGCCCAGCCCTCTTTGCGCGCCCTACTGATGTACTGGGGCAGTTTCCCAAGCATAGAGCGTGTTTCAAATGCGTGGCATCCTGAAAAGTAATTGCTGTTAATTTGCATGATTACTTTGCCTGTGTTTTTGTATTTTCTGTGTATTTCACTTTGAGTCAAAATACAGTAAGTTCCAGACTTGTGAAACTTTTGAGTTGCGAACTTTCACAGATACCAACGGATCTTGTATTAGGAACATTCATAGATGCGAACATATTGTGGAAGTAGCTCATGTGTGTGAGCTCAGGTGTGGGCCAAATTCCATCTTGCCCTCCATCTCCTATTGCTGATGATCCTTCAGCTCCACCATCTCCCTCCTACCCTCCCTCCCTTCTCCAGTTAGTATCTCTCTTCTTGCCAGTAGTCCACTCCATGCAATCCCCTATATGCCACTTGTTGTACTGTACTGTACCACCACTTTAAGGTAACTGTAAAAGTAAAACTAGTTTATTTACAGTATTTTTTTGTGTGTTTAGTTTTTTTATGCTTTGCATTGTATATTTGTGTCAAAAGTGTATAAGACTCACTTTGTCGGACTTACGAATGAATCCGACTTAGGAACGTTCTCCCTGAACAGAACTCATTCGCAAGTTGGGGACTTACTGAACATAGAAATCAAATCTGACTTTACCTTCGCAGGTGTTAATTAGGAAAATCATTGTGAACTAATAATCTTTTTGTCTGTCTCTCTCTCTCTGTTTATTATTTAATCATGATCTTAAGAAAGCCTTAATAAAAGATTTAAAAAGCCATTTTGCCCTAATTTTTCTAAAGCTACATGATTTACATAATTCGTACTTCCAGATTCTAAACACCCTACACCCAGAAAATAAATTCTGAGGTCAATTCCCAACATCTTTTCACGTCATTGAGTAAATCTGGGAAGACCCAGACTCAACAGTTTTATCTTTATCCCTACATTCAGCAGTTTCTTTTATCTCTAAATTGTCTTAATTGTTCCTAATGTAGTAAGAAGAAAAAAAGAGATGTTATATATATATTTTTTTCTTTTTTTTAAGGGGAACAATGTTGGGGAATTGGGGAAGGGGAACATCATGATCTTAAGAACATCATGAGTTGTTGTCCGTCAGTCTTAGTTGTGGAGGACGCAGCTAGCTCAGCTCCAAGTCCAGTCGCCATCCAGCCGCCTGTCAGCAGCTCATGGCTGTTCAGTTCAAGGTGCCGTGTTCAATCTTAGTTGTGGGTGGGCGTAGCCCACCATCCCATGCGGGAGTCCATCAGGCAATCTTACTGTTAGGAGCATGCACTCTCACCAGCTGAGCCATCCTGCCACCTGTTGACAGCTCAGCAGCAGCTCAGCTTGGTATAGCTCACTGGCCCACGTGGAAATCGAACAAGCGATCTTGTTGCTCAGAGCTAGTGCTCTTAACCAACTGAGCCACTCGGCCAGCCCTATTAATATATTTTTAATATGTATGTCATACATAAAATATCCATATATAATATACATATCATCATACAACTTATATTTATTTATAATAATTTTTTAAGGAAAACTGCCTTGAAATGGAAGGCTCTTTGTTCTGCAAGCATCTTATGAACTAGGGTTTCTGTAGGTTTGAGTCTTGAATGAATCCTTCTACGTACGGCAGGGAAAAGTATTCTTGGGAAATTCTGGAAGGGAAGATAAACAGAAAAGAGGATAGAGAAGAATGCAAGGCTGGGCCTCACCTCCCGTGACTCCCACATCTCCTTCCTGTGATCTCTCAACCTTCAGTTAGGATCACTAAACTCATGCATGCTTGTGGTTTCAAAAACTGTTCAAAAACTGTAGTTTTTGAAAGGAGACTCTGGGGCACAATCCACCCCATCAGGACAGGGACACAGGAGAAAGAGGCCATGGGAAGGATGGCCTCAGGGACTTCGAAGACATCCAAGGGCATCTCCAGAAGTGGAGTGATAAGGACTGCAGCCAACGCTGCCCAGCTCCTGAGGGAAAGGAACACCACAACTGACATGAGGTCACGCTGGTCCACAATCTGATCGGTGACTCAATCGACCACATTCTTATTCTTATAAAATCCTCTGAGTTGAGCCTAAAATCAGGAAGAAATAAGAGTGAGAGCTCCTCACAGGTAATAACGAATCCCTGCATTTGTGGGAGACAGTCCAGGGCCTCAATTAATTTTGATGAAAAAATTTGTGATCCTTAGAGGGATTCAAGTGGGCAGTAGTCAAGACGGCATATGTGACTCCCTGCTGTGACCCCCCCACACACACCCACCCCATCCCAGTAGATACCAGACTTTCATACAACAGGGAAATGATATTCGAGGATGACATCAGATGTGTCAGCACTGTTCATTTGTGTCATTTAATACATGAATTAGAAAATTTCTTAATGTCATTGTCTTAGTTTGCTGGGGCTGCCATAAGAAAATACCACAGACTGGGGGCCTTAAACAACAGCATTTGTTTTCCCACAGTTCAGAAGGGTGAAGTCCAAGATCAAGACGCCATCATGGTTGATTTCTGCTGTGATCTCTCTTCCAGGCTTGAAGATAGTTACCTTCCCACTGTGTCCTTGAGTGGAGAAGAGAGAGAGAAAGAGGGAGAGGGAGAGGGGTAAGAAGGGGAGAGGGAGAGAGAAGGGGATAAGGAAGGAGTAGAGGGAATCTGGTGTCTTCCTGTCCTTATCAAGGCACTGCCCTAGCCCTGTCAGATTAGGGCCCCACCCTTTTGACCTTATTTAACCATAATTACCTTCCCTAAAGGTCCTATCTCCAAATACAGCCTCCTTGGGGGTTAGGGCTTTAACATATGAATTACAGGGGCAGGGGGCGGGGAGGCACAATTCAGTCCATAACAGGTTTCCTGCAGGTTTGCTAGAGAAAGAGAGATGAAGGATATAAAATGGTTTATATTCCTGGCAAGCTGACTTAGAGCAATCATTGCCAAATTATAATATTAACAGTTGCTAACAATAATTCATTGCTTACTATGGGCCAACCACTGTTGTAAGGTCTTTGCATATGTCATGTTAATGAATTCTCCAAACAACACTCTCAAGTAGATACCACTATTATCCTAAATTTATAGATAAGGCTATTCAGGCACAGAGAGTTTAATTGACTTACCCAAAATCCAGGAGCTAGAAAGTGACTAAAGCCAGGCTTCAAACACCAGCCTCATTTTGGCTAAGATCAAGTGCAAACCCCAGCCTCAGACTCCTCAGGAGTCCATGTGCTTAACTACAAACTAGAATATGGAAAAAATGCAATCTTTAAAAGGCACATGTGCACCCTTTATCTAGAATTAAGTTGAATATGTGAATAGTAATAACCTTAGCATAATCACCAGCAATGGCTAACGGAGTGTGTAATCGGACTAACATTAAGCAGCAGCCCTGCTCTATTTTAGTCCTATGACATAACTTATGCAGACAAGGTAGTAAGAAAGTTTTTCTTTTTAATTGCAACTTCAATTTGCAAGCTCAGAGACCTGGAAAAGATTTGTCCACTTCTACAGACCTTAAAACCCTGGCTTTTCTTTCCGTTTAGATGAACAAATAAATAAAAATCAATATGCATGGCTGTTTTCTCTCTTCTTGTATAAACTTAGAATCAAAACTCTTCCAGTACAACCCAGAATGTATTTTCCAGAAGTGAGTCCGACTGAGAGATTGTCCTTCACCCGAATCCTTCACAGGCACATTGGTCATGCTTTTCTTCTCTGTAAGGCCTTGGTGCCTCTCTCACTGGGGTTCTTTACCTGGAGTCATGGGTTTGTCCCCTGGTGAGCCCCTCCTCTTTGAGGACTAAGAACGCAAAACAAGCAGAGTTCAAGGTAGCCAGGATGAGAAGCAAAATTCTATGAGTGAATTTCTGGGCATAATAGTGACACGAGCTGCTTCCACCCCCTGATTTCAAGACCTGTGTTATCTGGCTATGGGGGAGGAGAGCACCATATATTACTCTGTTTCAAAAAATATACAGTCTCCTTTAAGATAGCACCTCATCCTTTCAGGGTGTTGACTCCCAATTGACATAATAACTGAGTCTTCAGTAAGCCATTACATTACATTAGTAAGCTTTCAAAATTTGCCCTGTTGCTTCTAGGCGATGGAGTATGTGGTGAAACCAGTTAATTCCATGGCCAAGAAGAGCCCACTGCTGATTCCCTTTGCTGTAAAAGAAGAGATGCCATGAAAATCGCTGATCAGAAACAATGCTATGGGAAATACCATGATGGCAGGTAAGGGGTTCTGTGAGTTCAGAGATAGTGCTACTGGCAGAAGCAAGGTGGGAGCAGGGAAGTTGTATCCATATCCAGAATTGTCTGTTCCAGTGAGGACAAATCTCTGTCCTCTCCAAGATGGAAGAGGTCCAATTGTAATCAACCTACCACTAGGTGGCTGGCTGGTCACCCCAGTGAATGGGACCTTTCCCATTAGGGGATCAATATTGGTCTCTGTTGTTGACATAGTAGGACCTCAGCCGTGGTGTTCCTATGTCGGCCTTGGTGAGGGTAAGTCCATGTTGTCAGGTCAATGCATTGCCTCTATCCCTACCACCATGGCCACTTTTCTTATAGGCCCATTGAACAAGCACTGGGTGGCTGGGAAAAGAGACTGATATCCACAGAGAACATGATTTGTTCACCTAATTCACTGAATTCTCTTCAGTGAATGACCACCATTCACGTGGTGGTCACACAAATACGAATATTTTTACACTCTGACCGTTCCAAGAGTCCATCCATATGCTTCTTCCCCAG